GCCAGGTGATGGTTGGGGAGGAAAGTCAGGTAAAATAACTGAACCCGTTTCTGCAGGTGGTTAATTATGACAGAAAATGATATTGATAAGATAAACCCAGTGCCAATTCCACAGCAACTGCACTACTGTGACTAATAATGTGATAAAAGTGGAAATATCCGGGCAGAAAGGAGATGAACAAACTCAATTCTGGCTGTACAACACCCAGAAAATCCACATTTCAACCCCCAAACCCCACAGCCTTTCACCAACACTGGAAAAAATGGAGGGAGAATTTAAAAAATAAACAACTGAAGACGAGACTGAGGAAGAAATATCTCCCATATCATCCACTTCAGGACATTTATAGTAGGTTTTATTAGTCAAGATGGAACTTTATGGGATTATATGACTTAACAGTCCCACGTAACAAGCTCAGCTGCACAGGAACACACAGAATTCCATATAAAAGTTGTTTCAGGCAGATCAACCCATAAAATATTAAATACAGGCTCAGAGAGAAACACAACACCCCATCAACATCCTACTATTTACCTCTGATTTACAAAAAGGTCTGAGCCTTTTTAATTACAGGATATATTAAATAAAAGATACATCACAGAACCGAAGCATATATTGGGTACAAGCTCCAAAATAAGTATTTTTGGGGGTATTTTCACCAAGATTTATTTACTTCACATGTGAAAGTTGGGAAATAATGACCCCCCACAGAAAAAGCAGAAATACTGACTGTATCAGTAAAGCAGTCAAAGACTGAAGAAAAAATTCCCAGAACCATCCTGCTCGTGCCCAAAGACTGACTAAAATCCATAAATAAACGACTCTGGCACCGGGATCAATCCTAAAGCCCAGTTCCAGTGGCTGGATTCGGCCGAGTTTGATTTTAACAGGTAATTTTAGAGCAGCAGAGTTCCAACCACACGCTCGATTCTCCCCAAAAAGCACGTGCAGGCAGCCACAATAAACACATCTGGAACAACACGGAACAACATCCCCCGAGTGGCACCTTCATCCCCATTCCTAAAAAAAACAGGAAGGATTTGGGTCGGAAGGTCGGATACGCCAAACTCGCTGCTAAAATTCAAGGCCGGCAGGTAAAAAAAAACCAAAAAGCAGCAGCGACAGGTTGAATAATGCCGATTTTCCAGCTGCCTCCTGCCCATCCCCGAGCGCTCGACTCGGAGCTCTCTCGGAACTTTCTTTGGCAGGAAGGCAAAAAACCAAACTGAGCAGAAACCGAACAAACATCCAAGAGTGGAGGTGGGGGTAGAAAAAAAAAAAAATCGAGTTTATACCTGAGGAGCTTCGCCTCGCGTTTTTTAAAGCGTTAAAAGTCTGTGTTTAAGATGGTGAATAAGCCCCCAGGAGTAAGGGGGGGGGTGGTGGACCGGGATAGGGCGAAAAGGGCGAGAAATTATTAAAAAACCGTTTTAAAATGTCAAAAATAATAAAAAACTATTTAATTTTTTTTTAAAATAATTTTTTAAAAAAAATCGTTAAAAAACACGGTTAAAAATAGCAGAGGACCCCTGAAGCCACACAGACCTACCTCCCCGCAGGGCCCTGCCCAGGAAGAAGGCGGATTCCCGGCTCCCTGCCCGGGGGGGGCTCCGCCGGGCTCCCCCCGCCCCACACCCGGCACCGACCCCGATCCCGCCGCCCTCCCGGTGCCCCGAATATTCAACAAAA